GTCCAACCGGTATGGCAGAGTCTCAAAGTACTTCGAGATGAAAGAGATCTTCTTGGTAGGGGTCTGGTAGCCGTGGGACAGGTGTCCGCCGTGGGGCAGGTCGAGACCCATCAGGCGATCGTGGGTGTTCAGGACGGCAGAGATGGCGTACAGGTTGGCAGGGGAGCCGGACAGAGCTGCAATCAATTAGACTAGGGCCTACAATATCAGTAATGATAAGTTCAATGAAGGTACTCACGCTGCACGTTCACGCCCCATTCTTCCGGGTTGAGACCGAAGGTCTCCAGCGCTCGCTGCTGACAGAGGCGCTCAGACTGATCGATGAACTCATTGCCTCCGTAGTACCGAGCCCCAGGATACCCCTCGGAGTATTTATCTGGTGAACGTCAATATTCATTCCCGTACCTCAGTCAAGTGTGTTCGAAAAGGTGGATGACTGACTCTGCATAACACTGCCCAAGGCATCGAGGACGGCCTGGGAGGTGAAGTTCTCGGAGGGGATGAGGTTGATGAAATGTTGTTGGCGTTTTTTCTCCTGCAATAATCATACTCCATCAATTCCCGTCCTGAATACATTCCTAGCAGCTAGACCAACCTTCTGGAGGATCTGGTAGATGGCGGGGTCGGACTCTTCGAGATGGGCGGAAAGCAACTACTCCGATGGTTAGTTAGCACGGGTGGTATGACATCAGACATCGCCGGGCCATGCGAGCAATGCTCATTGGGGGACCAGAACGCACAGTTTGTTGGACTTCAGGGCTGGAGGAGGAAACAGAACGAGATTGAACAGGCTTAGAAGGAAAAGAAGCGACCGCCGAGCGCATAGGACGAGGGAGCACGAAGGCCGGCTTCGCAGTGCGCGGGAGCAGGCGCGAAGCCTGTCGTCCGCAACGACCCAACATGATGTGTGGTGTGATGTGGTGGACGGTGAAGGTCTGAGATTATAATGGAAAGAAGAATCAAATGAATTGATCACTGAAGACCTCGAGATACGCGACAATCGGAAAAGTCGAAAAAGAAGCGAGGTTCTGTCCCCGGAATTATAAGAGACGGGGGAGACGGGGAGAGGAACGAGCAGCGAGCAGCGAGGGACGACAAAGGCGACCTCGGACTGGAAAGGCAGTTGCGCGCTTCCTATCAGCTTGTCGGACAACTGCTGCTCCTCCGTTGCCCGCGGGAAGCTGTTTCCACTAGGCCGGAAACAGACTAGCATCTCCGGGCGGTACGTGCCCTCGGAAGAACAGAGCGGCCGCTTGCCGAGGAGAATTGTTTTTCTTCTCGCCCGATTGCGGTTCGGCTTCTTCCTTTTTTCTCTTTTCTTCTTCATCACACAACTAAATCCAAGATGAAGAAAGGCGTTTAGCTTGCCAGTTCTCGTGGATGGTCGACTTCGGTCGACTATCCCGGGCGATGCTGACCTGTCCCCGCCTCCAACCATCCTTCTGGGACAAGGAACCATCCGATTGGAATTGGGACGTGTGTGTCTGTTGATGCCGACTGAGATGTCCGTGGGAGGATGACCCTTCCCGAGTAACTCTTTGATGTTAGGGGTTACGAGTCTCGCTCGTTCAATATATTCTAAACTGTCCAATAAAACCAATGGAATGATAACTTACGACTGAATTGAACCCCCTATATCGTCGTAGACCACCAAACCTGTGCACCAGGTCTTTCCCAGTCTGAACCTCTTCGTACTTGTTCTTTCCAGCCTGCGTTACGGTACTGGTAAATTGCCCAGTTGACCACATTACTTGCTTGGACCAGAGCCCAGTACAGAAGACTTTAGCAAGCTAAACTGTCGCTTGATAGCCTATCTCACGGAATCGTTACTCGCCAAAACTCGGCTATCCAGACAAATCACATTTCAAGCAAAGTTCTATCGAGTTGCTGCTCATTGAAGCAGAAACCCGCAGCTAGGAGCACAATGCCTTTCTCAGGTCTCTCAGCAAGCACGCACAACAGACAGCCAACATGAAAAGGGCAACCATCTCCAAATATTGATACAAAGAGCCACTGAGAGTTGGCAAGCAAGTTGCCGTTTATCAAGCAAGAAGCAAGGGAAATACGCCAGTCCAGAAAACCTTGCTATATACAGCAGCAACGCCAGCCGAAAAAAGAGTTATATACGTCTACACTCTAACCTAACCACCATAAACCAACCAGGCCACAGCGGCAGCCCAGCCACACACGAACGCAACGGTCAGAATTGAAGCACCCGCCCGATCCCCAGCCGTGATCTCCGGCAGCTCGTTGGGTGGATTCTTCGGGGCGGTGCCCGCGTTGGGATCACTCTTGCTGGTGCCCCCAGTATCCGAAGTCAGCGGTCCTTGGTGACTCTGTTCCTGGCCCTTGTGGGCAATCATAGTGGAAGAAAAGACGCTCAGTGCACTCATATCAGACTCCAGCGAAGTCTCCCCATCCCAAGTCGCCTGGTGCCAGCGGCGGCCGCATTCAGTGCCCGATTTGCCGCCAGAGCATTGCTTGGCCGCTGCCAGGGCCGACTGCTGGATTTTCGGGATGATCTCGCCCGCGGTGTACGGCGCAATGGTGGTGGTGAATGTCAACCAGGATGACAGAAACCCCTTGAAGCAGTCTTGATTCCGATCGCACATCATGTTCGGTTCGCAGGAGATCTCGGACATGATGCTGCCGCCGAACTCTTGAGGGAAGAACTTCTGCAAGGTAGTTCCGAGCAAGCCGTCCAGCGCCTTCTTCCACTTGTCTCCACCGTTGGTCTAAGTCTTGTTAGCTTCCTGCAGTCACTTGAGGGAGAAACCCTATGGTCAGGACGGTGTCATACGTGGTTATACATATAGGCGGCTCCACTGATGTACGTTCCGTAGTTGTACGTCCATTGGAGATCTCCATGGTCTTTACACTCCGTCTGCGTGGTGGTCGTATCAGCAATGGACCACTCGTCCTCCCTCAGGAGCGGGGTGGTCGCCATCCAGTCGTAGATCTTCTCCGCCCAGTTGCTGTACGTCTCATTGTTGGTGTAGCGCCCCAGTCGCGCCGCTAATTGGAAGAGACCCCCGTTGGAGATCGCATTCTTGGTGGTGTATCCAGCCTGGTAGGGCCACAGCTGCCAGCGCAAACCACCTTGACAACTGGTCGTGTCCCAGCGGGGTACTTGAGTGTTGAAGACCCCCTGCGCAAGCGACAGCCAAGACGGTTGGCCGTCCTCCTCTGGGTAATTCAACTCGGCGGCCGTCATTGCGGCCAGCCCCCAGAACACCTGGTCATCGTTTCCGAGGTAGTTACTGTAATTGGCGGGGAAGTAGTCGTTCTGGCCCTTCTGCCAGAGCATACCCTCGGTGGTGACTGCGTTGTAGGATGTGTCGCCGGTCCAGTACCAATATTGAATCAGCGTCATAAACATGGCGCCTCCTTCCCACCATGTATCAACCAATTTGCCCGGGATCTGCCCAGATTCGTTGCCGTGGTAGTAGCTCATCATATTGTAGGCTGCCGTCGCCGCGGCATTCTTGATCGATTCTATGTACAGGAAGGTCAGTGCTTGGCGCATGAATCATACTCGTCAACAGGAAGTATGCGCTTACGCTCATCATTGAGATCTAACTGTATGGCTCGGACTGTGTGCTGGCTGACAGTGAGGACGGCCAGCAGAGCCGTCCACCAGCGCGGGGACAAGATCATTCTCTATAGACTAGGAGAAGTGTCTTAAGCGAAGGAATGAGGCGGCCGCAGCCTCGACATGCGCCGGCGTGTGGATGAAGGGTGCAGGGACGAAGGCGGAAAGGGATTGGCAGAATGCGGGAGGGGCTCGAGATCGAGGTCGAGATCGAGGTCGAGGTCGAGGTCGAGGTCGAAAATGAGGAATGAAGGGAGATTCCACAGGTTTTAGATGGCAGGTATGCGGACTAGGGCGCGGGGGAGGGCGCACTAGGTCTGACGTGAGGTCACTGCTTGTGGGGTCACGAATGAGTCTATCATGAAGGGACTGTAAGAGTTGAGTCAAGAAGGAGGAAGGGAAGAAGGAGAGACTACGGAGGGAAGGTAAAGTAGTAGTCCATTGTGGGAGTAAAGGTTGTATGGCCATGACGGCATTAGGCTATTTAACGAGAGTAAGAGGGAAGAGGGAAGAGGGAAGAGGGAAGAGGGAAGATTCTGCCGTGGTGTCACATTGATGACCTAGTCAGTTGGGTCAGTTGGCAGACAGTTGAGTCGGAATAGGTAAAAATAGTGTATCCTACCCTATTTTCAACATTAGGCTACATCACGGCATGGATCAGATGGTACCTTACTGTCCCTTTCCCAGGGAAACTAAACCAAGTCCGGCCAAGTGGTCAGTGACCCTGCGGGGAAAGGGTCCAACTCGACGGACTCACGGGACGGACTCAAACTGAACGGTGGATCTCCCGCACTGCACGGCTCCAGAGCTGAGCCTTCCATTCAGGCACACCTGCTTCTTTATGAATTTTTTACTGTGCTTCGTTATACTCGTACACCAAATCAACCAACGAGCATTTAGCTTATCAGAGTTTTAGAGAATCCTGTTTCCTCTGCTTCCTCCCGTATCCTTGGCGTATCCATTGTTCCGCATAGCACCGGACCGGCCACGCGGCTGCACGCAATATATTCTCCGACTGGGACTCCCGTGTCAGCACCAATAAGTTCGGCAAATTCACTCATTGATACATGAATCCAGTAACGAAATTCAGCAGCAGTCCCTGCCCACTAGACCGGAATCATACAAAGCAATACCTTGAACATCTTCGATGCTCACATGGTTAAATGGGTGGCTTTTCTACGCATCGATAACTTGCTCTCTGGACTCATTCTCAACACGAGCTGCCAGGTGTGATAAGCCCCACGCTTAGCTTGTTATCCATGCAAGATCCAGACTAGGAGGATCGGCGATCAGGCCAACGCTGCAGGAAATTGACAGCCAGCCTGGGTGCAGGGTCCTTTAGCAGCTAGTTATATGCCTTTAGCTTATAGCATATCGAAAAAGGTCTATAGAACGGTAATTACTGCACTCCAACTCGAAGCGCGCTATGTAAACATACATCGTCCCGGTCTCCGGGATTCTAAATCAAAACCTGATGGGAACCATAAAATATCGAGTTTTATTTATTACCCCTTTCCACCCCTCGCTGGAAATTATTTTCACATCAACTCGCTTCAAACCCGGTCACGTCTACGAGGTGCCGCCCGGATGATGTTGTCGACACGTAGAAGAAGCTGCAGGAAATGAGCATGTTAGCATGGTCTATCTGAAAGTAGTGGAAAGAGCAATTCGTAGGAAGGGCGTTCTTACCTCGGCTGCTTCCGACGCGGAAGAGACCACAGCCTTCTTCAGCTTGTAGGCCTCCACGACGCCCAACTCGCGCATGTCGGCGATGCCACCGCCCGGGGTGAGCAGGTCCAATCCGGAGCTGGTCATACCGTTGTTGATCGCCTGGCGCAGGCGGGTCACAAGGTCGCTGGAGTCCAGACCAGCGTTGTCGGCGAGGGTGGTGGGAAGCTGCTTCAAGGCCAAGGCGAAGGAGTCGACGGCCAGCTGCTTCTTGCCCGTCGTGTTCTGAGCGGCCTGCTCAACGGCCTTGGCCATGACCATCTCGGCACATCCACCGCCAAGAGTCACACGGGGATCCTTGACGGTCTGGGAAAGGACAGCCAAAGCGTCGTGAAGGGAGCGCTCAGCCTCGTCGAGGAGCTGCTCCGTGGCACCACGGAGCACAATGGTGCATGCCTGACCGGCAGCCACGCCCGAGAACTTGATAAGAGTATCCTCGCCGATGATGACCTCCTCAATAACATCGCAGTGACCCAGCTTCACTTGATCGGGGTGGTCGAAAGTCGAGGCGATCTCACCGCCGGTAACCAGGGCCAAGCGCTCAACGCCGTCGAAGTCGGCATGCTCAATCGACATGATACCGGCTTCCGTGAACAGCTGCTCGGGCCAGTTGTAGATAAGCTGGCGGTTGACAAAGCAGTTGATGCCGTGAGCCTTGATCCGCTCAACCTTAGCCTTCATCTTCTCGCGCTCGGCCTTCTCCAGCTCAGCCAGCTTGCCCGTCGATTCGACCTTCACCCGGGCGCCGAAGATCTTGACCTTGTCCGTGTCCATAGCCGTGTTGGCGACCAGAATCTTGGCGTTCTCCAGGCGCTTGGGCTGGTTCACACCGATCTTCTTGTCGAGAATGAAACCTTCATCGAGGTACGAGTCGCTGAGCTTGCCACCGGCCTTCTTGATGATCTGGATGTGGCTCAGGTCGGTCGAGCCGCGGAGGCGGAGAACAGCATCGCAGGCGAGGGTAGCGAAGTGCTCACGGTCTTGGGCCAAAACCTTGGAGCTGAGGGTTGTGCGAGCGATTGAGTGGAGGTCTTTGCGGAACAGTTCCTTATCCGTGCTACGATCAACGGCGGCCTTCTCCAAAGCCTCCAAGGCAGCCTTGCTGGCTATCCGGTAACCTTCGATGATAGTCTGAGGGTGGATCTTGCGGTTGACCAGCTTCTCGGCTTCCCGCAGCAGCTCGGCCGCCAACACCGTCACAGATGTCGTACCGTCACCGACCTCGTCGTCTTGAACTTTCGAGATGTTAACGAGGACCTTGGCTGCGGCGTTGTCAAGGGCAATCGACTTCAGAATCGTGGCACCGTCGTTCGTGACAAGGATATCGCCGGTCGACCTAAAGGCAACGATGGAATTAGCCCACTGCTCGCGGTCGGCAACCCCGCCTTGCTCCCATCAATCATCCCACATACGCTGACTGGAGGATCTTGTCCATTCCCTTGGGACCCAGAGTACTCTTCACAAGATCACCGACGGCGATAGCACCGACGAAGGCGGAAAGACGAGCATTTTCTCCTTTCTCCTCGATCACATCGTCGGCGAAGATCTGCGTGGGGTTGGCGAAGGACTGGAGGCGGGTCAGCACTGACTATCGATAAAACAGAGACAAAGAAGTGTCAGATAAACGTACCATGATGACTGTAGATAGTAGAAAAAGATGGCTACCGTCAAGGGAAGGGCTGGCAGCTCAGGGGTTGCTTGAGCTAGACGGTGAGGACGCAGAGAACGGCCAACTCTAGCCAATGCGGGACAAACCAGAAAAGTTCGTGATACTGCCCGACCTGACCGCCCGCCCCGTCTGTCGCCGGTCTCCCTGTCGTCCATTGCCCTCGTCCACTTCACATTTCCCCTCAACTACAGCCTCACTCACTCATCCTTCGATTCATCATGCCTGCTGAAGAGGAGCAGAAGCTGGCATCCGCCAAACGCCCCATATCCGCCGTGGATGGCGGCGATCAGGATGGTACGCCCGCATGATACCTGGAGGATTAGCACACGGTTGCGAAACAAGACATCCTCGAGCTCGATCAGTTGCTGACGCTTTTCCCTAGGTGACGACTCGTCATCCGATGATGATTTCGGTCCAGCTCTCCCCTCCGCAGATGCTCCGAAGAAGAAACGCCGCAAGCTCCCTTTCGAGAAAGTCTACGTGAATGCGCTGCCCTCGTCGCCGCGGTACTCCAAGTCGCTCATGCACAAGGATCAATTGTCCTTCCTCACCGTAACTCCGCATACTGATTTCCTGATCACCTCCTCGATCGATGGCGTCGTCAAGTTCTGGAAGAAAATGGCGGTGGGCGTGGAGTTTGTGAAGGAGTTCAAGGCGCATTCAACCGAGATCAAGCATGTCAGCGTCAGTGCCGACGGAAGGAGCTTTGCGACGACCGGAGCAGACAAGACTGTCAAGATCTTTGACGTTATAACTTTCGGTATATTCTCTACAGCCATGCATCGATTGGACGCAGTCTGACGTTGGTTGCAGATCTATTGGCTATGCTTACGCTCGACTTCAACCCGCGTTGCGTCTGCTGGGTTCATCGCCGTGGCGCCTCATTGCCGCTCCTGGCAGTGACCGACGAAGGAAGCAGCATGATCCAAGTGTTCGATGGCCGTGGCGAGAACCCCACCCCATTACATACCGTCAAGTCCATCCATCGCAGCCCCGTGGTCGCTATGGCGTTCAACGACGCGTACGACTGCGTCATCTCCGCCGATGAGTCCGGTATGATCGAGTACTGGCGGGCGGGCGACGGCTCGTTCGAGAAACCCGACAACGTCTTCGAATTGAAATCATCCACCAACCTGTTCGAGTTCAAGAAGTCCAAATCCACCCCTGCCTCGCTGTCTATCTCCCCCTCCGGCGAGCAATTCGCGACGATCTCCTTCCCCGACCGCCAGATCCGCGTCTTCGACTTTGCTTCCGGCAAGCTCTACCGCAAGTACGACGAATCCCTCACCACCATCATGGAGATGCAGCAGGCCGGGACGGCGCTCTACCAGCTCGAAGAGGTGGAGTTCGGCCGGCGACTGGCGGTGGAGCGCGAGCTGGAGAACCCCATCACCAAGCCCAAGGTCAACGTCCTCTTCGACGAGTCGGGCCACTTCATCCTGTACGGCTCCCTGCACGGCGTCAAGTGCATCAACACGTACACCAACCGGGTGGTGCGCGTCTACGCGAAGGACGAGCCCTTCCGGGCCCTCAACCTCGCCATGTACCAAGGGCAGCCGCAGAAGAAGGGGGTCGTGACCGTCTCGATGGCCGCCAGCGCCAACCCGCTCCTCCAGGAATCGGAAGAACGCGACCCGATCCTCATCAGCACCGGCTACGGCAAACTCCGCTTCTACCTCTTCACCAACGAGACGGACGTCTCCAAGTCCACGCGCGACGTCCAGAACGAACGCCCCCGCGAAACCGGCGCCGGCGGCCGCGAGGCCACCGCCGCCCACAAAGCCGAGCTGGGCACGTCGGCGATCCTGCACACGACCATGGGCGACATCCACCTGCGGCTGTACCCGTCGGCGGCGCCCAAGGCGGTCGAGAACTTCACCACCCACGCCCGCGCCGGATACTACAACAACACGATCTTCCACCGCGTGATCCGCAAGTTCATGATCCAGGGCGGCGACCCGCTCGGCGACGGCACCGGCGGCGAGTCCATCTGGGGCGGCGAGTTCGAGGACGAGTTCTCCAGCCTCAAGCACGACAAGCCCTACACCCTGTCCATGGCCAACGCGGGGCCCAACACCAACGGCAGCCAGTTCTTCATCACCACCGAGAAAACCCCCTGGCTGGACGGCAAGCATACCGTCTTCGGGCGCGCCGTGCAGGGCCTCGACGTCGTGCATAAGATCGAGAACACCAAGACCTACAAGGAGAAGCCCGAGCAGGATATCAAGATCGTGAGTATCACGGTGTCGTAAGCTGACAGAGAGGAGACACTACCACTAGCGCTTTTTTTTGATGTTGTTCTTTCTTTTCCCCTTCCGCAGGCCTTGGGTCGCTATGACTGGGTTCGCTGTACATCTAGACTTGTATCCGTCATCAGCCATAGGGCAGCTTTGTACGAATCACGACTTATTTTTAATCATAGCATATTCGTCCATCATTTTTTGGTGTTTCTACTGATTTCTGCACGTGGGCGAGCGCGGGGGGTGATCCCTCTTTGAATAAAACAGGACAGACTACGATAGTATCTCTGGTGCAATCGGTAGCATACAAGTTGTCAATGAAGCGAACGATTTGGGTTTCCCCGATGACTAAAGAGACCATAGAAGGTTGATTCCCATAACCCCACACTGGGTCCGCAATATGCAAGAGGACAGACATTGGAAGATGACAGAAGAAGAATATATTCGATCGAAAGATGACGTGGAAGTCAGCCGCATGGAAAATGCCTGAACCAGGAAACTATGCACAACATTCGGAACAGGATTTGTGTGATGCGAAGTGAAGAAACGAAAGTAAAGTGATGCTTTGTACTGTGCATTTTGAGGGAAACAAAAGAATCACTGGTACTGTACGGCGGCAAATAATCAATACCCTTATAGACAAAATCAAACGCCGGATATATGCAAAGCTCAGCGGAAGGGACCATGCCTTTTTCTTTTGTCCTTGACGGGGTAACTGCAGGGGCCATCGATCCATGGCATATGGTTTGCCAGATGAATGGAAGAGGTAGCCTTCCAAACAAGACCTCCACGAGTCTGGTTTCACCGAGCCACTTCGCGGATTTCGGTGTCACTGTCGGATACGGGTTGCGTCTTCTGCAGACGGGATGACGTGCGCGCTGGTCGGGGCCCGGGGGCATTTGCAGCGGCGGCAGCGGCAGCGGCAGCGACGTTGGTGTGTGAACTGCTGGCGATGGAGCCCGGATTCTGGGCGGGGTCATACTGGGCGGGCATGAACTGACCCGGCGCGCGTGTATCAGGTCCCGGCGCGGGACCGATCTCCTGCTGGCGGGCGGCCAGCAGAGCGCTGTCTGTGCCACCCGTGGCTGCGGCGTGATACAGACCCGGGTACTTCCGATCATGGCGGCGCTTCGCCCACACGCCCACCACGCTGATGATGCTGAACCCGACGACCAGGATGATGACCATGATCACCCATTTGTAGTGTGTGGACCACCTGCAAAGCGACACGTCAGCAAAGTTGCGCCCGAGTTGATGAGGGATGGTTCGTCCCGGAATACCTACCAAGCGTTGGACGCGGCAGTCCTCCGATATGCGCGGATCTTGGTGACTGATTGAGCGGAATGGGCCTGCCATTTTTCCTCCTCGTTGTTCGTGCTGCCAGCGTCGGCGAGTGGGGCTGCGACCGCGCAGTAGTTGTTGTACCATGTCTGTAGTAACGAGCGATCGGAGGCATGGCTGCACGTATCATCGCAGACGGCGGTCGAGGAAGTGTGAAGCTCGGTGAGATTATGTGAATGGCAGAAGCAGGAGGCGTAGGTGGCGGAGTTTGTCTGCGGAGCGGCGGGCGGCAGGCATTCGGATTGGGCTTGGAGGAGGACGGAGCAGGTCAGGCCGCAGGAGGGAAAGGAGGAAGAGGCAGCGGAAGGTAGGATAGCGACAGTTTGCGCATGAGCGACGGTGGAGGCGAGGAGGGCGAATAGCGAGAGGTATGCGATCCGAGGGAGGGATCGCAAAGTGGTCGTCGGTGTGGCAGCAGCAGCATGACTGGCGGTCCAGGCCTGAGGCCAAGGTGCCATGACGACTGCTTTTTTGGCGGCTGAAGTTATGGCGGTGGGGACCGTCAGGAATGTTTACTGACGGGTATAAACCATGATATGTCGACAGAATGGATCAAGCGAGAGGACAGCGGCGAAGGAGGAGGAGAGGCGACTGAATAGGTGGAACGAGTGACGAGAGGAGCCCCAGGAGAATACCGGAAGACGGGGCGAAGACGGGGCGCTGTATCTGTCGATTTAGTCGGAACCCCCGAAGCTAGACGAAGAAGGAATGGGGGGGAGGAGGGAAGAGGAGGGAGGAGGAGGGAGGTAGGGAGGGGCGGAGAGGGGAGGGAAAGGGAGAGAAGAAGGTAGAGAAGGAATTGTCAGTCTGAGGAAAGGAAGATAGCCAAGAGAAAGAGAGGGAGAGGGGGGGGAAGGAAGGAGAGAAAGCCTGTTCCGGGGCGGGACGATGCTGGTGATGATGATGAGATTGAGTGGCTTGAAGAGAGAGAGAGAGAGAGAGAGAGAGAGAGAGAGAGTGAGAGTGAGAGTGAAAGGGCGTAAGTGAGAGAGTACGGAGTAAGCCTAAGTGAGAGACTGCAGTGAGTGAGTGAGTGAGTGATTACTGGTCAGTGAAGGGGAGTTGCGCGGCCTCCAGGAGTGACTATCGCCCAGTTGGGCGTAGTAGGAGTACTGTTTCCTGTGTATTTCCTGAGTATTTGCCCGTCAGGACACTTTCTGGACACTTTCTGGACCCTGAAGCGACCTTGGCAAGTCTTCTCTCTCTCTTTCTCTTTCTCTCTTCTCGTTCTTGTTTTGGTTCTCGTGGACTTTTATCGGATCTCACTCACACTAACATCGTCTCCCCCCGGTCACTACTCAGTCCTTCCTTACCATCCGCTCATCCCTCTCCCCTCACCGGCACATCCACAAGCCCTGTCAGATTGACCTGTGGTATTAAAAAATATGCAGGCCACTATGCCCAATAACCTCCCTCGTTCCTGGGCTCCACTGGGCTCCTCTTTCAATGATGCAATCCGGTGGATGCCCGTCCCCATCGCTGGTTCCCCAGAATGCTGCAGGAAATAACTACTCGTACCCACTACTGCCTAAGGATTAACTATGAAATGGCTTCCTGGCCCATGAAGTCATCGTTACCATATCGCCCGCCGGGTTCACCATGCGAGCTCCTCAGTTCAGAATAGTTTAACCGAGTTAGCATTGTCGATCGCATCTCGTGTTGATCCAACTCGATTTGAACCTTGATTTAGCCTGCCCAGGATCCATGGATCAGCCTAGAATCAATCCCGATCTAATTCCAGGGGCAGGGGGATTCATTCATTCCCCGGGACTGCGTGGTTGCTGTCAACCACGCCAACTCACACTCACACATTCATCGAACTAGATGAACGGTCGCTTGCATCGGAACTCGAGACAAATGGCGCCCTGTTGCCTGACTCGAATCATCCAAACTCGCCCAAGGCTTATCAGCCAAGGGAAAAGCCGGCGTTGAACGTTGAACTGTGCGGCGTTTTGCCCAACCAGGCCTAGTCGCCCCTTTCGCGGATCCAGTGGGATGTCAAAGCAAGGGATCGATCTATATTCTATTTTCAGCACACTTTGCCCGATCGGAAACTTCATGTCTTGGGTCTCCTTCCATGCAAGGTGCACATTAGGGCGGGACCGCCGTCTGTTCACTTTCAAAGTGAGGTCTAGTCCTATGCTTGGAGCGCCGGCTCATCGACTTAGAATGGCTGTGTCAGACATGCGAGACATTAGCTATGGGCCCAGAACATGTTTCCCACGGAAGTGGTCATGATAATAGGCCAGCACTCGTGCATCAATCTTCCTAGTCGGGACAATCGACAATGCAGAATGATCCTCAATGACCTCTGGTGCGTGGGTGGGAGCACTGCCCATTGTCGCCGATCGAAGATCCCATTGAAATGTCAAACTACACTAATAACACTCGATGAGGTCTCTCAGAGTCCATCCTAGCGCATCGAACTTCTTGATCTGTTTTGCCTGAAGACGGATCGAATAAAGACTTCACCGCAGGATTTGATAGTGAGATCTTGTCTTCTGGAGTTCGCCCATCAAGGACCACCAACCGATGAAGCCTATTTCAGCTAACCGCTTATCATAGTTCAATGCGACCATCGCACAACAGGCCACCCACTTGCCCAATCTTCTAGCCCACCACTACCCTAAAATGCTCTCTTTACTAGTATCGACAACAGACATTTCATCAACCTTCAAAACCTCTTCGCATGCCTTGACGTTTTCGTATCGCTCAGCAGCCACCCATCCCTCAGATCCAACACCCAATACCTCCCTCGACAGCTGCTCTTGCTCATTCAACTCCACCTGCGCAGTGTTCAACTGCAGACACTCATTCACCTCGTCTTGACTATACGCGATCGGACAGGCTGAAGCGTCCGCATCTTCCGATCGCACAAGCCGATCCCAATTCATCGTCAACTGAATCAAATCGGCCTTGAGGGTGACATTATCCCCATCCCAGGGAACGGCCGCCTGGTGGCACAACCTCCGCCGCAAGACTCCCAAGTCCCCCGTCAGGGCGGCCTGATGGGACGGGTTCAGCTTGGCCGTCGCCGTGAGATAGCAATAATGCAGCCAGCGGCTTCGGAAGAGCTCTCGCTCGCAATGTTGGTCTGCTTCGCTCAGCCTGTCGAGCCCTTCCGGCAATCTCGGTTCCTGCAGTAGGCTGGGGATATCGCCATCCGCGCTTTGAAAGTTGGTCGGGACCCCGCATTGCAGGAACAGCGGGCGGATAGTGCTATACTGCCAATCGATCAGGCCCGTAATTTCCAGGTCCTCATTGACAAATATGTTGCTGGGTTGCAGGTCTGGATGCCGAATCGTGTGTCGTGTCAAGGACGCGTCGCTCGGGACCAAGTACGGCGCAACCCGGAGGTAGTCGCTGAGATTCTTGACATGGTCCCTAGGTGACTGCTTGTATGATCGATTCGCGGGGAGAAGCTTCGATGCTCGCACGGGCTGACCATATTCCTCGAGATATGCAATCTCCTTCCTAGCCCCGGCAGCCAAGACATCCAGGGGGCTCGTGTCTTTTCAAGTCAGTATCGACATGCTCATCCATCTGCAGTCAGGAGAAGAGAAGGTCGCGAATAGTCTTACATGGTCCACGATGCACCGGCAAGATCCGGCGTTTTCCCAACCACAACGCCCGTGTCACATCCGGCCCAATGCAAATCGGACCCTCCCCCACGGCACCCGCCTCATCCGCGACTCGCACCGTCTCCATGCACTGCAAGTCCCGCTCAAAGAAGAGACTCCCACTCGCGGGGAAATCGAGGGCAAACAGCCTGGCCTCCAGCTCCACGATCCTTTCCACCACCCCCGCCAGCTCCTGCTCCGACAGATCGAACCAGCGATCCGTGAGGCGCCGTCCCGCGGCGCACTCCATGAAGATATACTCCGTGCCCACGGCGTTGTCCGCCGTGGCCGAGTACCCGTAGATCCGGGGCACGGGGAACCCCGGCCGACGGAGGTATTCGATGGTGGCGACCTCGCTCGCGACCAGGAGGTACTTGGGCTCGGTGACGGGGTAGGGGATGCGGGCGACGAGCTGGAAGCCGTCGCGCATGGTGACGAGGAAGGTGCGGTTGAAGCCGCCCTCGCCGAGTTTCTGTAGGCTCGCGACCGCGGTTGCGGGGGCGTTGATCGCGGCGGCGGCGAGACGTTTCAGTTCTGCGACGTTGAACGGGCGTCTGCGTTGGGACCTGCGGAGATGCTCGTCGCGGCTAGTGAAGAGGTGGTCAGTTTCTGCACGGTGCGGTCGGGAATTAAGATCCGCTACAGACATCCATCGTCCCGATGTGTAGTTGAAAAGGTCTGAAGTAGAGGCAGAATTGTGATCTTGATCTCGCTGCCAGCGCCTTGTGGTGGACGTGAGGTTTCTAGTGTGCGGGTTAGAAGCATGCGGCACCCTAAGCCGCGGCCATACTGGGCGTCTGACCTCGGCCAGGAACAGCTTCATGATGCCTGGGACAGGAACGTTTCATTGTCTGCGTGACTGGCGAGGGAACGAGTGCACGAGCAAACCAACAGATGAAGTTCTCTCTGGATAAATGAGGAGAAAGGATAGGGGAGAGGGGTTGGCGGAACGTGATTTCGACCGCCAGCTCGGAGGAAGAAGGTCGTCCCTTTGGTCCGATGCAGGAATCATCCCATTTCCCCAGTGCCGAGGCGCGCTAATGCAGTCGCGGAGGAAATGAGATTCGTCGATCCTCAGGTGGTTGCACCACCACGGGAAATCCGTGCTTTGTTGCAAGGTTGCGTTGCATGGAAGTGGGGGTGAACAGGGCGGGTCTGCTTCTTTCGACTCCTACAACGACAATACCCGAGAATAATCATCTATCTATGCAGGACACTTCGATATCTCTCGTCCAAATCTAGACATGGATGCTTTTGAGTGTTCCGAGCCTTCACGCTCCTAATCATTGCTGCTGTCTGACTTGCATCGCGGGGCGTAGGACCGAATTGATTGCTATTCAAGGTAAACGCTCACGCGACAATACCAATGACCGACTATAGAAGTCCTGATCTCGAACCTAGTGATGTCGCCCACCGATTCCTTCTGCTCGCTCTTTAGTTTCCCTCGACCCAATGCCTGCTACTTGCTTCCTCTCATGAAATTGCTTCCGTAACTCGAGATCATAAAATCAAGCATGGGCCCAGATGCAAGACTAGCTCGAAATTAGGTAGAGGCAACTGTCGCCCTCACTCATACTGTATCAACCAACCCGACCTCCTACCGAGAAAGACAGCCCTTCCAGCGCCCGAACAACATCGAAATGAAGCATCAACATCACGTGCCTGAGACTCCAACCTCTCACTGCGCAAAACGGCTTATATGTAATGTGAGTCATAATGTCCATATCATGCGAGGTTGGCCCAGGAGGAGTTCACTGTCCACCCTCAAGTAAACATCCATGATCACCAGAGGGTAACTTTCTAGTCTGATTCATTATCCGCTCAAGTTGGTTCCACAGGCAGTGAGGGGTGTGTACGTGTTGATCGACCTTTCAAGAGAACCGGGATTTCGACACTTCCAACACGGCAATCGACCAACACGTACCAGGAATAGGATAGAGTCATAGCACCTCCCTGACAACTCGGCGTACCGTCCAGTCCGTGCTGGCCACCAGTCACCACGGATTCTCATAGGCATAGGTCGGCCCGCCCTCGACACGGAAGACCGCGACGCGGCCCACGGTGAAGGTTGTCTGACGCTCGTGCGGATCTCCACTACCACTCTCAGTTCTGGCATGCTTCCTGGTCAGCTCTTCATACCCACCTGAGGGTGTGCCTGCAGCGTGGCCGGTCCCGCGCAGGAAGGTAGCCTGTTTTGTGTCCGCGTCAATCTCGAGTGCCACCCTCGATTGATCGGGATCCCCGATGCAGTGGCCGGGGGCGGGATGTCCGGGAGGACTGTTGTCTTCCGGGGAGGATGAGAGAGGCATGCTGGTGCGTCCTCCGGTCCAGCGGAACAGGCTGAACTGTGGCTGAAGCTGGAAGAGAAGCTGGGGACGGGCGACGACGGCCGATTTGTCTTTCTTGGGGGGCGGCTTGTCGTCGGTTTCTTTTGCGGTGGGAGGGGTGGCTAGTGTAAGGTCACGGAAGAATGCACCCGCCACGACCTTGTCCGAGTTGTGGGCGTGATCCCCCAGAAACAGGACGAGATACGCGCGAGCGGTCGGATGGTCGTGCGTGGTGGCTTGCTGGAGGATATGCCGCAGGTCGAGGCTGTCGGCCGAGCCCTGGAAGTTCCTATCGTAGCAGTGGTGGAAGGTGATCGCCTGGACTCTTCGTGCCAGTTCCGAACGGTGGTGGGTCTGGAACGGCGGGATGAACAGTGAGACTGCCCGGAGGATCGCGTCCATAGTGTCCGGTGCGGAGGATTCAGTCTCCAGATTCGGTCGCTCCGTGGACAGGCTGAGTGGGAAAAGAGTGGCCCACAGCCGATGGAACGATTGTTCGAGATTGGGCTGGTCCGCGCAGGCATCAGCGCTGGGATCCGCAGAGTGGCAAGGAAAACATACCAGAATGTCCAAAGCCTGGAGCACCATCTCGGGAGCCAGGGACTCGTTCTGGTCGTGCCTGAACGATCGGACCAGGACCCCCGCCAACTCCTCCTGGTCCGCACTGGGTTCCTCGAGGAAGCCGCGATGACACTCTCGGTCGGGGCGGGTCAGTTGCGGGACTCTGAGCCTCAGGACCAGGCACAGTAGCGCCGTGAAGTCCCCGGCCCTCATCGCACATTGGCCCGTTCGCCCCCCGAGCAGACTTTCCGCCAGCGGCTGCACCTGCTCCGGCGACGGATGCAGTTTGGGGTGGGAGGGGAAGATTGCGAGGATCGCATCCGTCATGTCGTTGGCCACGAAGGTGTCGAAGCCGTCGGTTGGTGGATCTGAGCGTGACTGGCGGCGATCGACCCGGCTGATGCTTCGGAAGATGCGATTCATCCTGAGCCCGCAGGTGCAAGGCTCGTCCAGCCGGCCCCAGCAAAGGCCGAAGTCATCGCGTATCGTCCCGAGGAGCCGGGTGCCTTGCCGTGACAGTAGGAGTAGCCCACGCTCGAAGGCGGGCTGCTCCACCTTGCGGTCGTCCGCCTCCGAGATGGGGAATGGATGGTAGGCGTAGAAGCAGAAGCAGGACCACAGGACGTCGATCGCCGTGTCGGGGATGATTGTGTCGGGATGGGTCCGGGCGAGATGGTCTTGGAAACTCTTCCTCGACCAGTCTGAGACAGTTACCAAGGATTGCATCAGTCTCTGCTGCGCTCTCGCGCGGCTAGGTAGCACTTACAAGGCGGATGCTCGTGGGTCGGGTCTTGGATGCTAGACGCGACGAAGATGGACTCTGGCGGGATCGAAGTGACTACTTCTCGCACGAGGTTGATGTGCAGCTCGGACAAAAGTGACTCTAAATGTATATGGTTAGCACCGATCAATCGATTGATCGATTGATCAATTGATTGACTGACCCCGGGTGGTGGTACGAAGAAAGTGTGCGATCTTCTTCTTCTTGTCTCTGAAGAGTATGTGGAACACTGCCTTTTCCAACAGGGTAGTCATGAATGACGATTTTTCGCAGGACGTGGTTCGCAGAATTTGTAGAAGATGCTTGTGGCATGTTGTGTGTATGATTACTAGGTAGGTATTGATTTTATGTAGGCAGGCGCGGGAATTGACAGTCAATCGTGGATCACATGACGACCTACCACGGCACAGCGCTTCTAACCATCAGGCCTCAATCAGGCCTCGATCTCCTTGTACAGCTCCAGCACATAATCCCGACTTGATCTTCCCGAGCACCTCATATGTGGCCTTGGCCCAGGTATACTAAGTGGTGTCAGGACGGTCCGTGAACTTGATGGTCTTGCCATCCCCAAGTTTAATGTCGTAAGATCCTGAGTCGGACTTGAGAATGACGGTGTTGCCCTCGGGTCTCTGCGGTGAGGTGAGGCGATTCTTGAAAGGAAGTTGATATGTATGAGACGTGAGATGATGGTAGTTCAACTACGATGGGCTTTGCGCATGTTCTATGTAATGACTGCTGTATCTGCCTAGCCAGCTTCGGCGGCCTTGGTTTACTGGCCCTGTCAATTCTGATTACTAGCTCAAAATCTAGAAACAGGCATTCACCAACCACGGCATCCGACTATCCAAATCCTGGGGGAGTATAGGACCCTTCTCGCCAACACTATCCACAAACAGCACCGTTTCCAGAGAGTCCAGACAATGCTTCACATGGTGAAAGTCGATATCACGTGGACAGACATGCCGGCCCGTCTCCCTGGCGTGCCAATACCGCCGCAGCGCCAGGAGACAGTGCGCCGGGTGAAAGAGCGCGTCCGTGGCGATCTGCATCGCGTATGGATCCTCCCAGAAGGAGGTGTTGAGATAGTCGCCGCTTTGCCGGACCCGCTCCATCTCCGGATACCGCTCCTGGAACCATCGTTGGTATTTCTGCTCACTCTCGTCGACGAGATTGAGCGGGACCATGGATTGATCGTCCAACCGGACGAACCACGACTGCTCCTGGCGCTCCTCCTGATCCCCGAAATAATCTAGAAAGCTGGACCAGGGGCGTGTGAATTGGAGTTGGTGCTCGAGGCCACGGCTGCGGCTGGTGTTCCACTGCAGCCAGAAATTGCCTGAAGTGCTGCTGGCGCTTGAGCCGCGGAACGTGAGCCCGAGGCGAGTGGACACGACGACGCCGATGACGGATAGTAGGGTTAACAGGCAGAGAAGGATAAGCCAGGGGGCGCCTTGAAGCAGGTTCTTCTTGACCTTCGATAGGCTAAATGAAAGGGTTTCGGCGGGGGCAAATGCATTCTCAGCGGCCGCAGGGACTCTGATGATGGATAGCAAATAGCCATGATCAGAGTGTGAAGTAAGTGTGAAGCTGAAGCAGGCTGACTCGGAACCAGCTTGCATGAAGAATTTCGTGGCCCGGTCAACAGTTTCCTCGAACGTTGATTGTGAGTCCCGATGGATGATTGGGGAGAGCCACAGTCTGAATTGGCCGGCTCCATTGACAGAGACCGAGACACAGCAGTCGGAATAACCTTCCTCGACTAGGTCCTTTGCCCAATCCTTTAAGATTCTCGACAACGTTGTCCCAGATGACGGAGTGGTATTGGGGCTCAATCGAGATGGCCCAGATAGAATAAACAGAGTCAACTCATCTTTCTCAGCGTCGCCCTTCACAGGGTGATAGGACCAGCTAGCCATCGGCATTGAATACTTTATCGACTGACACAACGCGGATGATCAAGGGCGATAAGCCCAGACGGTCGCCTTGAATGCAATATTACCGCAGTATAACAACATGGAGAGGTACGCTGGTCCAAACCCCTACTCTAGACGGATCCCCGCTCCCACGATGTCACATTGATCAATTCAAGTCAGACAATATCGACCCAAGCCGCCCGAAAATAGATATACTACTAGGGACCGTGCGGCAGCCCTATCCTTATCTCGCATATGGATATCGGGCTTCCGCCGGTGTACGGAGGACGTATGCGCCGTAACGACCGCCCCCCCGCATTTCCTTCTCGATACCAACCGTGTAATTCGTGCGCATTCACCGAACATCCTCCCATTCCTTCACTAAACTACTCGTCGTTGGTCACGAGCGCCACCCCTGACTTGGTCCTCGATCCCGGCGATAAGAAAATCTCGCCGCAATGCCTGATATGGTGCTCCGAGTCGGAGCGGGGCTCCACGATCTTCCCATTGAACCGCGCGCGGAACTGCTTGCGCCAGTAGAAGATGCAGTGCAGGGTGTGCCATTGAATGCTCATGTGCACCAATGCCTCCGGCCGGTCCGCCAGCGCCGCCACCTCATTTACATCCATGGGGAGGGTGCGCTCGCGGTCCGCGTAGTAAATCCAGGTGCCGTTGGGGCCATCGCCCACGGTGTTGAACTCCGCGGCCAACTCGTCGTCGCGGCAGTGCGCCGGGAGCCAGGCCATGGCCAGCCCGTCGAACTTGCAGCCACGCGCGACGGCCTCGGCGACGGAAGCTCCGCAGTCGCATCCAGTGCGGTCGACGTGGTGGGGAGTACTTGTAACGTGGTAGGGATGAGGGGATGGGCGGGTGATGAGGTTGAATGCGCCCCAGAGTGCCAGCGAGTAGAGGAGGCAGATTTTCGTCAGGTGGAGGCAGATTGTGAGCAGCTTACTGCTTCGCGTATGTCTTGCGGGCAAGGTCTGCTCGTAGCTTGGGCTCTGGCCGTGACCTTCCTCGAGTAGATGGCAAGTAGGCTCTTCCCCTCTGTGCATGTTGCTGCGACTGGAGGGATGACTGGGAAAGGGTGTCCACACAAAAGAACGTTGAGCAAAAGCGAGACGAAAACGCGACTGACCTTTCCACTTGACAAAGAGACTGCTAGCTTAGATATAGAAAAGATCATGGAGGTAAATATCTAATAGCGAATTGGCCGGCCTGTGTATACAGTGCAATGAGGGGAGACAGGCATGTTACGGACAGTAAGATTACCTCGCCCGTGATTACACACCATCGTTGCAGATAGCCATCCCCCCATGCACTACATAATTTCAAAACAAGCCCCAGCTGAGATTTAACCAACACACACTCGATCTCCATGAGAAGGTCTCGTTATCGCTGTGATCACTTTGGCAACACTTACACCCGGCAGCCTTGCATGCGCAAAAAAAAGCAAACCATGGCTTCAACCGACTACTCTCTCTTAAGCCCCACAACTCACCGCCGGCGCACCACCAGCCTACAAGCCCTAATCAGCACCAGTCTAGTCTCACTCCTCCTCGGCCTCGTCCTCGGAGTCGTCCTGGCTACCGCCATCCACCCCCTCACCGTGCCCCAGCTCCTCACCACCGCCCTCACGCACCTCGCCCATCCCTCTGCATCCCCATCCGCCGTCCCCGTGACCGGGGGCTTCGTCTTCGACGCCGAAACCGGCGAGGCCAAGTGCGGCACGCACTGGACGGAGGCCAAGCGCCTCGGGTGCCACTTCGACGTGATGGCATCGCGGTGGTACTCGCCCGACTGCTTTAACCGCGGGGTGCTGGACCAGATGCTGACGGAGGTGGACTTCCGGTGGTACGCCGATCGCGAGCATACGCAGGAGGTGGCGCGGGAGCGAGTGCTGGCCGGCGAGTTCGACGCCGTCTACCCGGACAACGACTACCACATCATGCACTGCCTGTACCTGTGGCGCCGGCTGCATTCCGCGGTGCTGGAGCATCGGTTCTTGGACGATGACGTGTACAGCTATGGGCATACGCTGCACTGCACGCGATTGATCATGCGGTGGCCCCGGGGGCTGAATACGACTACGGTTGCGACGGCGGGAATCCCGTATTGTAGGGCGACGCCGTTGTGAGGGGAGGGTGAGCGGGAAGGAAATGAAAGCTCGGTTGGGCCGCGGCAAAGAAAGGAGGTGAGAGATCTAGATAGATTACTGGAAAAAGGCAGCTTAACTTGCGGGGTTCAAATGGGAGAGTGGTTCGGTTCTTTCAAGGTGAGGATTTAGGTCGACACTAAGAAGGACCAGATCCTGATATTTTGATACACATATGTACTGTGCGTAAATGAAGTGCGGGGTTCTATAACGGCACGGACAGATATCTCGCTCACATACCCTCGCTCACGATAGTTTCGATAGTAGAAGCGCGGGGCTTTACTGGTCAGCTCGTCTATTGCAGACCTTCTTTCCCTGCATAGATGGTTACATCGGTCCTAGCATCAAGACTGGGAAATGCAATAGGTGGAATAATCCAAGAGTGATAGAAACGATTGTCGTAGGAACAAGGCCTTAGATCACCTCCAGCCAGGGCTACATCCATTCAAAACCACTAGTAACAAAGTAGGCGGGAGTTTTGTAATGCATCCCTATTACTGTACAAAGTGGAAGTGGGAGGCTTTCCCTGCATAGATGGTTACATCGGTCCTAGCATCAAGACTGGGAAATGCAATAGGTGGAATAATCCAAGAGTGATAGAAACGATTGTCGTAGGAACAAGGCCTTAGATCACCTCCAGCCAGGGCTACATCCATTCAAAACCACTAGTAACAAAGTAGGCGGGAGTTTTGTAATGCATCCCTATTACTGTACAAAGTGGAAGTGGGAGGGGGGGTTGGGGGGGTTCAGCGGAAGATCTGAGCAAGCAGCAGTGAGATAGCCCTCGATAAATATAAGACTCTCCGTGGATACTGTTCCTATGTACCAAGAATCAGTTTGACTCCTGATAAAACGAAGTCCCAAAATATTCTATCCTTACTTGAGCACTCCAATTTCGTCTACAACTCCCTACAATGAAGCTGCTCGCCACTTTGATCGCACTCTCGGTTAGCGTGTCCCAGGTAGCCGCGCTTGCGATACCTCGTGCCATGGCTTCTGGTCCAGTGGCCGAAGAAGCGATTCCGACGTACGATAAGAGAGCAATGGCTTCTGGTCCAGTGGCCGAAGAAGCCGTGCCTACCTATGACAAGAGAGCCATGGCTTCCGGCCCAGTTGCAGAAGAGGCAGTCCCTACATATGATCGCAAGCGAGAGAATTAGTAGCGGTAAGTGAATCGTCAATCTCTGTATCTCACCATGGCTTGCTGCTGAATCCAAAAGCAGCAGGCGAACGTGGCAGCTTTCTCCAGACAGGACTCAGAAACTGCAAGCAGTGGAATTCAGGTCTTGTTTTATGGGTCACACTGGTTCCCAGATCACCAAGTGATTAGGTATCCTAGGTTGAAGTTATACTACTAGTAGTGAGGGATTGGGATCAGATTGAGAATACTATTTCAGTTTCTATGGGGATCACTCATACAGCGATGGGCGTGTTTTGTATCCGATCAAGTAGAGAGTGTTTTAACAAGTATCTCGTGTACGAGGTGGACGAACCGGCTCTTGAGTTGAAACAAAACCGGCCGACAATAACAATATCTATGACACGATACAATAGCTTGAGATGGAGAACAGTCTGACCTTTATGCATTTGCAATTCCCAACTAGCTACAGAAGTGAGTCTATATCTTATCTAGTGCTCCCCTTCATGCCCCTCGCCGTTCTCAGGGACCTTGAGAGGATCAAAGCTGTCCGGCAACAGTCGCTCTGTCAGGTTCCACATGGCACGCTCATTGGCAAACTCCATCAGGGCATCAAAGTCGACACAAGAATGCGTCTGCCCCCATCCTGTACTCTTGGCCCAAGCCCCCGTCTCCCCCTCCAGAGTGGTATCTGCGGAGCAGAGAATGCTCTGCCGCAGATACTCGACGCAGTGAGCCCGATGCTCTACTTTCTGTGACTCTAGCATCGCCCACTCTTCTCGGGAGGTGCCTAAGGCGGTCATCAGGATAGACTATGGTAAGGGTCAGTTGCACATATAGGGAGCTTGAACTTCGGGTAGGGGAAGTTTACAAGGCAATGAAGCTGATGATAGACCGCCATGATGTGGCCCTCATAGTGGTCGCCCTCCTCAAAGACGTTGTCCATCTTGAACGCTGGATGCAGGACTTCGAACTCTTCTTCTTCAGAGACGGTGATGTAGCCGCGGCCAGCTTTGAGAGGGAGAGAGCAGATATTAGAATCAGCTCGTGTCTATACGATGGTACATCGGGGCTACTCACGAGGGAACAGGGAATGCCAGTTCTTATGGATCTCTTGCATCCTGGTCTTGTTCCAGAGCATTTCAGTGTCATGATAGACGAGGTCCGGTCCGAGACCGGCGGTGTTGCCGAAAATGACGGGCTTTCGTGGGACTTGGGTTGGAGATGTGCTCGAGCATTAGCACACAGAAGATCTTCAAAGTCATCAAATCAGAAATGGGGATATGCCTACGCGTTGGCCCAAAGCTTCTGTCGTCGACCAAATCTATGTCGTCAGGTTTCCCTGTATTCGACATCAGAGCCACGATGAGGGAAAAAACAAGAAACCCTTCAAATAGTAGACGAGCATCAACATATTTCCAAAGAAAACTCGATGTCCTCGTTACTGTTGATGACGGGATGTTGATCTTGGTTTCATTTAGCAAGCCGGTTGATGGAGAGAGGGAATCGATGTGCTTGTCGTCATTCTCGTCCCAACCATTTGGGGAGGGCAACATGGCTGCCATGAGTGAGTTTTGACGAGGAAATAGTATCAGAATGACATGGACTGTGAGAGATTCTGACTGAAAGAGAGAGAGGCTTTGAGCCGGGGAGTGATGATTCTTTGACCATGCAGTGTAATCAGCACTGTTCATTACACGTCTTGTTTGTTACAGCCGTAATACGTGGTCATGCGCTGGAGCTTACCGATCGGAGCAAATTGTTACCCGATCTGCTTAGACAGGCATGAAACCGCTGAATCCTTAGGGCGGGGATGCGATTAAGCCTCGTCTTGGTCTGCTTGTTCTCCCTTGCACCAAGAGTTGCCGTGCCGTGATAACCGAGTAAGCACTAACGTTCCTTGGTGTAAAGCCTAGCCTGAACTCGCAACGATGTGGTTGTTCAGCAAATTCTGACAACGAAGACTTGTCCTGCCCCTCAATGACCCTTTCACCAGTTCAAAGTCCAATGCACGGGAGACCACCTTCCCTGGAGGAAGAACCAGACGAGGAGGGCATCTGGACCCCCCTCCAGCTAGCCGCCGCGCAAGGCAATCTGCCCCATGTGAAGCTTCTCCTGAGACAGTCCAGCAGCAACCCCAACGAGCCCGCCCGCGGCTACTACGGCCAAACCGCACTCCAGGCGGCCTCAGCCAACGGACATCTCGATGTGGTCGAGACGCTCTTAGCCGCAGGGTCGGAAGTGGATGCGCCCGGGGGCAACAACGGCGGCCGCACCGCGCTCGCCCTAGCCGCAGGCGCCGGCCACTTCCCCATTGTCCGCTACCTGGTCGCCGCCGCAGGCGCGGACATCCGCCGCCCCCGGCACAAATACATGGGACGCACCGCCGTGCAGGCCGCAGCGGAGGGCGGCCATCTTGAGATCTTACGATGGCTGCTACACCAGCTCAAACAGCCGCCCGTCGCGGAAATCAACGCACCCCCGGCCACTAACCGGGGCCGGACCGCGCTGCAGGCCGCGTCGCTGGGCGGCCATGACGAGATGGTGGACTTCCTGCTCCATGCCGGGGCAGATGTGAACGCACCCGCCTCGAGATATCATGGCTTCACGGCGCTCCAGGGCGCGGCCCTGAACGGTCACCGGACCGCCGTCCGTCGACTGTTGGCGGCTGGGGCGGATGTGAACGCCCCCGGCGCGCGGTACAATGGCTACACGGCCCTGGCGGCAGCGGCCGAAGGCGGCCACGCGGACATTGTGCGACTCTTGCTGGACGCCGGCGCGGATGCCGCCATGGTGTCTGGGAATAAGAGTTGGACGGCCTCGCGGTTTGCGGTTTGGCGGGGACAGAAGGAGATCGTGCAGCTTCTAAGTAACTAATCATGCACATGAAGTTTGCTTATGAGAAGTAGTTTGTGGATGGATTTATTGCAGTACGCTCGGTGTAGTCCAGTAGTCGATAGATGCGCGCTCAGTTGGTGATCTGTATTGGCAGTAGGGTGTGAAAAAGCAAGCTTAATTCCAATCAAGCACTCAATTCGTGATGACAGTCATGTTTGGTGCTGGTGACGGTGAGTGGCTTTTGCGGGGTGATCTAGACGAGTATCGCATGGTCGAGCCATCTGGTTGCGCCGACAATCTGTTGCTCCTACAAGAGCAGCAGCATCCGCGTTTCGCCAAAGAACGGCTTCGAATATAGACTTAGGTTTTGCTCAGGTCGAGGAGAGCGTAATCAGTCATGTCGAACCCCGCGCTTCCCGTGGGTCTGGACGTCACCGCGCAGGTGGCGCATCGGCCAAATCAGCCGAGTCATTCAACCATCCACCCAGACTCGGGACGGGACTAGGGCTAACGTCCTACCTACCGTCTATTATATGTGATATATACCGTCTCCCACCTCCACCCAATCCAACCTCACATCCTACCTCAATCAACCCATCAAAAACCAACCCTTTGAAAAAGAGAAACATCCAAAATGCCCCAAATAATCCCCTACACCATCCCCCCGACCCCCCAGATCCCCAACTCCCACAAGCCCCTCCTCCTCTACAAGAACTGCTTCCTCGACCCGACCACCGGCACCGTCAACGCCCAACTCGCCTACGACACCTTCCGCCGGAACAACTGGACCCCGCGCTGGATCACCACCTACGGCCACGCCCAGCGCTCCCACTACCACCCACACACCCACGAGGCCATGGTCGTTCTGTCGGGACCCGGCCGCATCCGCTGGGGCACCGCCGACCTGGCCGACGACCCAGCCAAGCATACCTACGGCGTGGCGGGCACGGACTTCGAGGAAGGCAGCGTCTTTGTGGACGTCGAGGCGGGGGATCTCTTTGTCATCCCGGCGGGCGTGGCGCATAAATCTTATGATGTTGCTGCCGCGAACGAAGAGCCCGTGGCGTTGACGGGGGGTGGGGCGCAGAGGATCGAGGCGGCGAATGCGAGGGCGTTTGTGGGGGAGTTGCAGGCCGCCGGGAAAGTGAAGGGGTTCACGATGATGGGGGCGTATCCCGGGGAGGCGACCTGGTCGTGGGCGGAGGGAGGGGAGCATGTGGGACGGTTTGAGGAGGTTTGGGGGGTGGAGAATGCGGTGTTGGATCCGGCTTTTGGGCGGGAGGGGGGGATTCATGTTTATTGGGGGAAGGGGGAGGGGAAGGGGAAGGGGGTAAAAGCGGCGCTTTGAGGGATCAGTTAATGTAAGGACAGTGTAGATTTCATCATGTATGTATCTATGCATACCTGAGACCTCTGAGCTTTCTGGTATGTGTTCAGAAAACTGTCATCTGTGCAATTATAGAATGAATCATCCAGAAAAGTGTCAACTTGATGAGCCAAATCAAATCGATACACACAACATGACATTCATAAATCTATCCACCCATGACAAACCCTTTCCATCCCCCCTCAACACACTCCCTCAAATACTCCTGATACTTCGGCAACCCCCCCATATACCCCAGCGCCTCCCGCTTCTTCCCCGGCACATTGCCCCCCATATACCACGTCGTCTCATTACTCCCCATGAGGGTACGCGCACACGCCTCGTCCGTGACCTGGGCCCACCGCTCCTCCATCTCCGGCTTGACATCGACCGTCGCATACCCACGCTCCCGCATATACCCCATCGTGGCCAGAATCCACTCCGCCTGGATCTCCGAGATCAGGGGCCCGTTCGCAAACGCGGTGGGACTCTGCGGCCCGTACTGGAAAAAGAGATTGGGGAAGCCGGCCGTCACCATGCCGAGATGCGTGCGCGTGCGGACGCGCCACTCCGCCGCCAGGTCTCGGTTCTGGTTGGTGCCAGTGATGTTGAGCCGGGTGAAGCTGCCGGTGACGGCGTCGAAGCCCGTGGCCAGGATCAGAGCGTCGAGAGCGATGGCCGTGCCGTCGGCGAGCTGGATCCCCGTGGCTGTTACCCTTGCGATTGGGTTCTGCTTCAAGGGCACGAGGGTGACGTTGTCCTGGTTGAAGACCTCGTAGAAGTGCTGTTCGAGGGAGGGGCGTTTCGTGCCGAAGGCGAAGGGCGGGTGCGTCGGGGCGAGGTGCTCCACCAGCTCTGCGCTGCACGTCAGTCGAGCGCGGGTCTTGTCGCGCCAGAACTCGTAGAACAAGGTGTTGGCGTCCAGGCTGGTCATCATGTCCTGGTAGTTGCCGTGGGCGGGCGCGAAGCCCCCCTTCGCCCAGAGGCGCTCGTACAGCTCCTGCCGCTGGACGGGGCAGTCATCCGCGGCGTTGCGCGGGGTCGGGGGGTCGTCCGAGCCCGTCAGGGAGAGACGCATGTTGGCGAACAGCCTGGGGTAGGAGGCCTTATCTGCTGTCACTTTCTTCCCCATCACCGTCTGGGGACATTGCCGCAACTGCTGCTGCCGCATCGGCAACGCGCAATTCGGCGAGCGCTGCAACACGACCAACTCCCCGCTCTTGGGCCCTAGCTCCTGAATCACCTGCACGCCTGTTGCTCCGGTCCCCATGACCGCGACCCTCTTCCCTTCCAAATCCACCGCCTGGTCCGGCCAATCCGCCGTATGACACACAAACCCTCCGAAATCTCCCAACCCCTCCAACGCGGGGATGTACTTCTTGGCCGCGAACCCCATCGACAAGATTAGAAACCTGCAGTCCACGCAATGGCCGCGACTCGTCTGCACCTTCCACATCTTGGTGGCATCATTCCACCGCGCATTGGTCACCCGCGCCCCGAATTCGATATCCCGGCTGAGGTCCCACTTCTGATCCACGAACGCGAAGTATCGTAGGATCTCCGCCTGGCCCGGGTACCGCTCGGACCACTCCCACTCGTTGTAGAGGTCGGGGTTAGAGAATTCGTAGAAGGGGGTCTTGGTGTCCACGCGTGCGCCAGGGTACCGGTTGTGGTACCATACCCCGCCGAGGCCGGCGCCTTCTTCGAAGACTCGCGTGTGGAAGTTGAGCTTGCGGAGCTGGTGCAGGAGGTTGCAGCCGCCGAAGCCAGCGCCGACGACGATGGCGTCGTAGTACTCCGGGGTTGGGGTGTAGGAGCCCATTCTTGGTCTCGTGGTTGTGTTGGTGGGAAAAGGGATGATGCGGAGAGTTAGGGTTGTTAAGTTGGTGAGTGATGGAGAGGTTCGGTGGGGTTTAGTTATGTGGTATTCGGGCTCATGATATCGATCCTCTACACTTTATATACTATATTCCAGATATAGAGCTCTAGCTGTAGAGCCTCGTGTGTTGTGTATCTGAGCGAGAACTGCTCTTTGTTGCAAGTGGTATACCTACACTTCCTTCTCTGCAAATCAATTCGGGGGGCTCTCCGGGCCAAGCCTCACAACCTACGAGAGATAAGCGACGGACATGAGCCTACGGCCAATTTGGCCGATACGGACATCCCATTGGATGAGGCGGCGGCCCACATGCGGGGATCTCGGGTCGGAGATGGGGGCCGGAATGAGGGGATTGGGAAGTGTCTTGATGCCTGGCATAGTCTATCTATACATGTATGTACGTATAGTTGTATGCTTGTATGCAATGTATACATGTTTGCTCGCAAAATTGTCTCTTTGTGCATATGGGCTATACCACACGTTGGAGACGAGGAACAAGTAACCGACTGCATATATTGCCGTGATAGTGTTGTCTGGTTTTGAACAAGTTATGGGACGGTGTACGAGTCAAATCAAGGTTGAGAAATAAAGAACTTTGTCAGGCAGGATTGAAACACTCAATTAACTGCCAGTTATCTGCGTAAACTCAGCAAACGGCCACGCCAGACTATTCACATCCAACGAGTTCGCCAACTCCAGCAACTGGTCGGGGCTCAGCTCGTAATGCTGCGTGAACCCATCCACCAAGCCGAGCTCCAATCCCGGCTGCTGCGTAGCATACCCCGCTGGATCATCAACTGGCGGCACAACCGCCCCTCTGCCCGGGTCCACCACCACTGGACCCCCCTCATGCGCTGTCGGCAGCGGACACATTTCAGTCCCCGGCATAGCTAGAGCCAAATGACCACCATTCACCAGCTGGCCTAATTCGGTGTCGAGCTGCCTCAGCTCCGCCCCGACCAGCTTTGCCGCCAGATTCCCCCGCCGGTGCATCTCGTCCAAGATGGCGTAGGCGCGCTGCGACCAGGGGGTGTGGTCTGACAGAAGCGAGGGGTCGATGGCCGCGGCCATGATGAGGGGCATCGTGGAGATGGAGGTGGCGTCCACGTCGAAGGGGAGGAATGTTTCTTTCGTGGTCGAGAGTCAGCGAGTGGGGTATAGTTGTGGTGAGATGCAAGGTATACGTACCTAAGAGTCCCTGCTCCAGGAGATTGGAGAGGATCCTGAGAATCTGTTGGGCGGATTCCAGGCAGATATGTAGGAGAGAGTGGACGGTCCCGGACTTTAGCCAATCCAGGAGAGATGGGTCAGAGTGGCCGAGTTTGGATTGGAGGAAGATGTAGAGGAGGGGCCTTGTGGTGAGGATTATGCACTGTCCCCATAAGCCTTTTATCCCTGGAACGAAAAGAAGACCGGAAATTGGAAGAACACATTTTTATCTCAATAACTGTGATAGAAATACCACGCAGGGAGTGTGAGAGTCCTACCTGATGCTCTAGAAGATGCAAATGTGCAGAAATCCGTGAGATGCCGCCCATTTCGCCGCTCGCGTACAAATCGAACGACCGGTTCAGCTGCTCGGTGACTTTGGCGATGTCGCGGAGAACGGACTGGGTGGCGCTCAGGTAGCGGCTATCTAATTTCCCTTCGCTGCCGTAGACAGCTAGCAGCCAGGAGTTAGCCAGGGGAGCTAAGATACAGCGACAGACGTGGGCGGGCCAGCACGCACTCAAGTCCACTTTTACCAGAATCTGGCAGAGCATCACTTGCATCTCCAGTACATTGACACCCTGGATCTGCCCTGAGATCGACGGAAATGAAACACTGATGCTCTCCTCGGAGATCCCCATCGGTACCCCAAGCAGGGAGGACATCCGACGCTCGAGGGCATAGACTGTCCACCACACCAGGCTGCAGCGCTGGACGTATGCTTCGTCGAGATAAGGCCCGCGCATTCCAGTGTACATGCCGTGCTCAAGGGCCCAGCGGAGGGCAGTCCCGATCTAGACTGTCAGTATCCGGGGCACCTTGGAGGCAAGAGAAGAAGAGACGGGCGCTTCTCACCATACGGTAAGCGGGCCCGCGCCGGTGCACACACTGAAGATAGAGCGCCGCGCAACATAGGACTTGCGCCATCTCGATCGGATCGCCGTCAAACAAGTTCAAGTCCGGCATGCACTGCATCGCTTGGATGAAGTGCTCTGCCCCCGGGGGACTCTGCGACCTGACGCTCTGAACCACAAAGCTTTTTCCAAAGGCGAGAATTAGCAGGTAGTGTGCGAACCATAACGGTGAGGCCTGGGCTTGCTCTGCGGGATTCCGCTGGAACACCTCCAGCTGCTGCATGAAGCGGTCCTCCTCGAAGAGATAGAATAGCTGCCCGCAGTGAAACTTCACAGAGCTGATGAGATACTTAGCAAAATCCGGCGAAGGCAGGTGGGAGACTTCAAATATATTCTTTGCATTTTTAGACCGAGTACCATCCCAATTGAGGCGGTATACATGGTTGTCAAATAGCAGGCATTCAGGATCTGGCGCCAGTGGGGTTCCGGTGAGTCGCTCGTGCGTCATCCCTAACACTCGCCGGCTGAAGGCCCAGCTGGACGATGTGCCCATGAATACTACGTTGGTTAACCATAAGTCGCCGTTGTTGAAACCTCTAATAACCACAAAGACGCACCTGGTCGGCCCGTAGGACCAGGGACCCAGTCCATTATGTGAAACGCGAGGGGGTTTGTAAGAGGTGTTGTTGCCTCCATTCTCGCGTGAGCTCTTGCCGCTTGACCAGGAGCAACATCTTGGGACGGTAAGCGTTGTCCTCGCCTACTATGTGATGATCGCGAGGCTTGCAACTCTGGTAATGTTGTATCCTCAGCTACGAGATGTTGGTCTATGATAGCAGTATCCGCATGCTGGCTAGGGTCATCGGGCGTCGAGGTAGGAGAGCGAGGCAGGTTAGCCTTATGCTGGAAGGCAGCTAATCGATCGTGGAGATCATTGAGATATCTGCAGCCGTGGACTTGATTAGATAGTCAATAGTCCGAGCCAAAGGTTTTCCACTTGCCTTCGAGTGACCAGAATCTTTTCCGAGGGGCTATCAAAATCACACGTCAAGGCGCGTTTATGACATTGATCGCAGGGATGCGAGCCCGTGCATCTGATCTTCTGATCCCGACATCTCCGGCAGCTGGCTTTCTAGTCAGTCTATAGTTGGCGTACGGCTGTGGGAGATAAGACCAACGCTTTGCTCACCCGCCTCGTTGCCTTTAATGAGCGTCTGGCAGCAGTGCCACGATGTGGCATGTTGGAGATAGTGGGGTATGCGTTGAAGATGGGGACTTGCCCTGGCTCAAGTGGGGAGTGAATAGAACACGAGCCACAAGTGTCGGGACAAGTGGCCGTAGTCTGCATTTATACTTAGTCTTAACTCTAACTAGTACAGTACTCCGTCCGCAACCCCTCTTTCATATCTACTCGCTTATCCGGACACGCCTGCCTAGTCTGACGGATGAGGGGTCGAATTCACGCCGGATTAGGGCTGTACTTATCGTAGACCTAACATGACTCCATTTATGCTCGGGCTCTATACGTCAATTTCCATTTCTTTTATACTTTGTACGTCATACCCCGTACTTTCCCCGCATTTCCTGTATTCTTGGCTTAGGGCTTGACATTCCCCGGCATCAACCACAAATGGGATGTCATGCATTTGATTCCGCCAAAGGCATGAGCGTCCGCTTTGTACCTTCGCATCGTGCCTCTGAGATAAAGGGTATGCTTTGCTTGCCACATATCGGGAACACAGATAAGTCCTCCCGGTCCGGTAATGGCATCTGGAAAGATAAGCACTGCCTCCGGCTATATAACCGACCCTTTGTGCACGTAATATCCGTTCCCATCGTGTAAGAATTGGATTGCATCATACGCTCAATAATCCTTTTACTAAAGTCTCAAGATGTCAGACATCCGACCCTTAACACCTACCACAACCGATAAGTCAAAGGCGGAGCCTCCTGCTCCTATCGCAGAAGATGCAGTTTTCGGCGAGATCATTGAAGATGGGCCCAACTACAGAAATGTAAATTTACCATTCGTTTGATATCGAGGTCTATTCACTAACCAAGCAAGATCGGATGGCTCGGGACTGTGGCTCTTATGATCAAGACCCAGTTTGGCCTCGGGGTCCTTGGCATCCCACAGGTCTACGACACTCTCGGCCTCATCCCTGGGGTCATATGTGTTTGTGCGATTGCGGCCATTACAACATGGTCGGACTATGTTATCGGCACGTTCAAACTCCGCCATCCAGAGGTCTACGCCATCGACGATGCAGGGGAGTTGATCTTTGGTCGGCTCGGGCGTGAGGTTCTCGGTGTTGGGGTGTGTATCTGTACGATCCCATTTCTCTGCTTATTGTATTGTCTCGAGCTGATACAGTACAAGACTGGATCTTCTGTACGGGCTCCGGTTTACTAAGCACGTCCATTGGGCTCAATGCGGTCTCAGCTCACGGCACATGCACGGCGGTCTTTGTTGCTGTGTCTGCGATTATTGCGTACTGTTTGGCAAGTATTCGGACGCTGGGAAGGATCAAATGGACTGCATGGGCGGGGGTGGGGAGTATTCTTACTGCTGGTGAGTGAGTTTCCTATCCTGACTTAGAGACAATCGGCTAATCCTGAAATTCCTTATAGTCTTGATGGTCACGATCGCAGTTGCACTTCAAGACAGGCCCTCGACGGCTCCTCAAACGGGCGCGTGGAAGTCGGACTACAAGCTCGTCGGCCGTCCATCTTTTGTCAAAGCCATAACTGCCGTCTCTTCCGTGGTATATGCCTTTGCCGGTACACCCGGTGAGTCTAACCAAAGTGATAGCCGTTGTTGCGACAATGAAATGCGAATATTGCAAATGCTAAATCCCACCACCCAGGATTCTTCCCTATAGCAGCAGAGATGCGCAACCCTGCCCTCTACACCAGAGCCCTTCTCATCTGTCAGACCGCCGTGACGGCGACATACATTTCCATCGGGACAGTGATCTACTATTTCTGCGGCTCCTACGTCGCATCGCCTGCTCTCGGATCTGCCGGAACCTTGATCAAGAAAGTCTCCTATGGCATCGCTCTTCCCGGCTTAATCGCCAGTACGATCATTGTCTGCCACGTGAGTCCCCATCGCTACGATCCTATCCTTCGTTGACATATCTGACACCTTATTCATGCATCTCAGTTTGCCAGCAAGTACCTGTTCGTTCGCATCCTCCGAGGCTCCAGCCATCTGACCGCAAACACATTCACCCACTGGGCTACCTGGCTCAGCTGCACTTTGGCCGTCACGGTCTCTTCGTACCTCATCGCCAGCGGGATTCCCATCTTTCGTGACCTAGTGTCCTTGATCGGTGCTCTCCTCGGGACATTCATGTCCTTCCAGCCAATGGGATGCATGTGGCTGTATGACAGTTGGAGACGGGGTCGCGAGCGGCCAACCCTCCGATGGGCGCTATTGTCCATGTGGAGCATGCTTGTGATTGTTTTGGGGACATTTCTCATGGTTGCGGGCACCTATGGATCGATTGAGAATATCATCGCGACCTCTCGGCAGAAGGAGATGGGGGGTTCGGCCTGGTCGTGTGCTGACAACTCGAGCTCATGAGATTTTCTGTTGAATCAAGTCAAGCTGCGCTGCTTGAGGCAAGGAACCGTACACTTGTTTATAAGAGCTTTGTGAATGGTGAGCTTTGTTGCTTATTCAAAGGTAGACAGAGTAATTGCACTGAAATCAACAGTATGTACAGACATGCCCCCAGCCCTACGCAAGCGCTCTTGGGATCTATCACAGAATCTAGCCCTCCCCCGTCACCACCACCACCGTCTACCACATCATCCTCCCTCTACTCATCCCTCTACGCCCAATCATAGAGTCAAGCTCCTTGCTAACCCACCCACCCTCCTCCCAATCATCCGTCCTCCTTACTCCCCGGCGTAAAAAGAAAAACAAGCGTAACAAAAGCCTTACACCCCGCGCAAATCAACAACGTAACACTCGAGCCCGCGACCCTCTCCACCGCCGCCCCGACAAAACACCCGGCCGTCAACAGCCCCAAAAACAGGACCCTGCGATTCCTCTTCCGATTCCTCCACCTCAGCAAGGCCGGATCAATGACCACATCCACATACGCCGCGGTCGCCATCGCCGTCGTGATATCCGTGATCTTCAGCGCCCGGCCCATAGCCACCTGCGCCCCGGACGAGAATGCCAGCAGGAACAACGTCGCCAGCGTGGTGGCCTCCCCCTCCTTCTCTGCCTTCTGCCCTACCTCACGAGATGCGAAGCGGTCGGGCCGACACATCCCCGCCGCGGCAAAGACCATCCCCGTCTGCAGCAGACTCGAAGCCAGCAACCACCAGCGCCGCCGCACGGCGCCCAGCCCGTTCCCCAGCTGGCCCAGCACCAGCCCGCCGGCCACGAACGCCCCCAGGCTCATCCCCAGATGACGGAAGGAGTAGTCCCCCGAGCTGGCGAGCCCCGCGCCGCCGATCGCCAGAAAGAGGAGGTTGCCCGTTTGGTTGGAGGCGAAGCAGCCGTAGTCCCGCCAGGCGGCGGCGTCTTGGATGCCGATCGCGAAGGAGAGGAGGAGGAGTTGTGCTTCGAGGGTGAGGTCTTCGTGAATTGATTGGGTGAGGTAGCGAGTTAGCTGGCGTCTGCGCGAGGGTCTCTTCGCGGGGAGAGGGTGCGTGCTGGGGAGGGGGAGGTTTATCGGTCCTTGGTCGCATGGAGGCGCCGGAGACGGGGGAGGGTGGGCGGATGGGTGGTGCTGGGCGTCGGTGCGCATGCTTGTGTGTCGTGCGTAGACATCCTCGTGTGATACGTGAGAGTGGTGGAAGGTGGTTCAATGGGTAGGGGCAGAGCAATATGAGGGTTTAGGGTGCTATGAGTGGGGAGCTCGGGGATCCCACTGTCCTGTCCAATGCTTTCTCTCCCACTGAACCTTTTTTTCAAGGTCTCAATGGACTTGTAGAAGAAGAGACGACTATTACTCAGAACTAGATCCACTTTTTGTGGGTTCTATACTGGACAACTTGGTTCAGTGCCGTTGGCATCGGCGATTGGAGCTCGCCGTCTCGGATGGAGCCCGGGTCGGCGTTTGCCCCGTGGAGGACTTCTTCACGAAAGCGAAATCGAATCTCGGCCCAGGAGAACTCCAGAGCTGATAATACCAGGGGCATGTCAATTATGAGGCTACACCTAGTCATAGTCAACTTATGTTATCTATTGTATGGCGAGACTCTTATGCGAGGAGACCTCCCGGCCAGTTGTTGCCTCAGGCCTGTCTGTGAACAGCACTGGGAGAAATTTACGGCCTATCAGTGCAACGCCGACCAAGATACTGGATGCACTTTTCACAGTCTGGGCTATTTTCGAGCAATTGACTGTTCGCCATCCATGGCTCCTGATTCGTGGTGAATCATATACCACCGGATAGTGTACGTAATCCAGCCATGCATGCAGCCACACGGGAGTTCTTGCCCGCCTTTTAATAGCATATCAACGATCTCAAGCAAGCTATTCGCAACAGTGCCCAGGAAACCTCAACCGGGACACTTCACTATGATAATGAAGCCTTGCCTTCTCACCTCTGGGCTCTTCACCTACCGGAAGAAAGGAACACCTCTCTTGATTCCGGAGAAGCGCGCCTCACAGTCCCGTCGCCAGCCCTGACCCGACCCTGTCAAAGGCTGCAAGGGGCCAGTGCTTGTTGATCTGACCATCCTGCTCGCTTCTAGCTTCTTTGATGTCTCGCCCGCACGAAGAGAACGCCTCACACCGAATCAGATGTAGTCAGGGTCCTCGAGCCCCTGAGCCGGGGCCACCGCCGCCCCCGAGCGCTGAAGCCCCCATTCGCCTTCTCCGATGCGCTTGCCGCAGTACTTGACCAGAAGCCCCACCGCGGCCGGCCCGATGATCGTGTTGAGCAAGATCGCCCAGACGCCCGTGATGAAGCCCTCCTCGCTGACGTAGGATGTCTCGTTATAGCCGATCTCGATGATCAGGAGCCCGATCTCGCCCCGCGCGACCATCGCAGACCCCAAGAGGAAGGCTGAAAGCCATAGTGTGGTCGCCGGGTCTTTTGCCCCCCCAGTATCCGGAGGCGCCGGGCTCCCGTGTTCCAACCCACCACTCTCTACCGCCGCTGACCTCGGCTCCTGCTTGCGAGCAGGCCCCCGGCCCCAGATCGGCACCCACACGCCCACGACAAACTGTTTGCAAACCGGGAATCCCAGAAGTGAGCGAGAAGTGCGAAGCAGGAAAAAAAGGAAGTTATCTTCCCGGAAGGAGAACCTCTTACCTTGGCAACGACCATCAGAAGCGTGAAGACGATCCCGCGCCAGATCCGCCGGCCGGTCCAGAGCTGCACGAAGGGGATGGCGAAGCCGATGCTCGCGAAGAACAACGGCTCCATGAGGTACTTCTGGACGTCGACGAGGTAGCGCTCGAAGGTGTGGACGAAGGTCGGGCTCTTGTGCGCCAGCTTCTCGCCTTCCTCCCGGCTCAGCACCACGAACGGGCCCGTCGGGTGCTTGCTGGGGAGGTAGGTGAGGAACGTGCCCGCCAGGAAGGCGCCGAAGAGCACCGAGGTCCCCGCGTAGGCCGCGATCGTGATGAACGCGCTCAGCGACAGCGTCATCAGCACGATGTTGGAGATGTGGTCGAACCGCGCAAAGTCGTGCTCGATGAACCGCCGGAACCCCGGCGCGAACAGGTATTTGGTCACCAGCGGCGTCACGATCGCCATCGCGATCGAGGCCACGATCGGCCGCCCAATCAGCCAGCCGAGGTTGACTCCGCCGCCTTCTAGCTGACCAAGATTTTCGATGACGCTGCGGAGGAGCGAGGCGAGATTGTCAGTATGCAAGGTTTTCCCAGCCCCTCAGAAGGACTGTGCCAGGAGAAAATGCGCACAAACCTTGCCATGACAAGCCCAACCACGTCGTCAATGACCGCCGCGCTGACCAGGACAGCGCCTACACGGGTCTGTGCAAGATCGACGGTGCTGGAAGCGGAAGAGATCACTGCAAAAGTCGTACCTTGGCAGTGTAAGCAAACAACCCATTGAAGGGATCGCTAAAATGGTGAGCCACAGCCGTCTGCTTACCCAGAGAGGTCGCAGATAGCGCTGCTCCAATAATAAAGGTTTCTACGGCACCTGGAAATTGTAAGCCTGATTATGCAGAGAAGGAGATATGTGCATGGATGAGGAAGCCCACCATATCCAAATCCGAGATAGAGAAGCAGGTACGACAGGCCAATGGGAAAGCAAACCCCGGTGGCTGCACCAAGCGTACTAAGAACCAGATTCGCCCGTAAGAGATCCAGGCGAGCGTTGAGACCACCTGGAAAAGAGAGCGTTAGTGCTGAGTACCAGAACAACCAGATCAGCGGGGAGGGGCACGACATGGAGCCGTGTACCTTCAAATATGATCAAAATCAAGCCAACATAGCCGAGAGATAGAAAGGTTTCTTGCCAGTCCATTTCAAGGATATCGGCGAGCGGTTTGCCGTAGATGATACCAACCGCGATTTGGCCGATGATGCCGGCGCGGATTATCTTCGCTGAGGCCCATTCTGCCAAGGACAAGATGAAAAAGAAGGAAATCAGGATGAGGATGTCGACAACTGCACATTGATCAGAAGACTGGATATCGAAGGATGTCTAGACGGATAGACGGAGTGTGGGCGACCGTACTTCCTGGCTCATGATAAGGTAGAAAGCCTCCTGCCATGGCACAAGAGCTTCGCCAGTGGAACGATCCGAGTATCTTTGTTCACAACTCACGGTCTTTAGCGGGGGTGGGGGGGAGGATTAATTATTTGTATCCAAAGCGAGCGAGACTCTCTCACTTTCTTTCCTGGTTTCCAAGGGATTTCGGACTGCACGAAATAATAAAGTGGCAGCGATTACGGCGGAACTTCAAAAAGTCCACCGCTTCAAGCACGTTGTCATCGATTCCCTTGGCAAGTTTTAATTCGTGCAGGGTGAGGTCCCCGGGGCCCACATATCCAACTTTCCGCGAACGGAACGATGTCCTCATTCTGGAGTAATGGATGGATGCCATCGGTTGGCAGGTGGCGGTATCTTCCCATTAGGGTTTGCCAAGAGCTTCCCGAAAAGTTGGAACCAGCCGCCAGCCTGCCTGGCCATGCACCGTGGGCAATCTTCCTAATATATATATATACATATATACCGAATAACGCTTCACGCCAAGACCCGCAGAGGCCAGCACAGTGGAACAGTGGAGTAATGAAACTTGGCGCAACAGCGGAAAGAGCGGGATTGGGCATTGTTCTTGGCCTGAGTTGTCCGACTCCATGCTAGTGTGCTTGGCTCGGACCAGAATCGATCCTCAATACGAGCGAACTACAGTACACACGGGGCCACGAGCAGAGGGCATAGCGGACTAGGGGCGTCCAGCTCGGCGTGGTCCGAAAATAACTCTGTGTGGTTCAATATTCTGCCCAGGACGGTAGAGGATTTTGGGCTACGATGAGCCTTTTTTAAATCGCGCTGAGCTGGCCCCCGGTAGACTAGCTATGCCATCGTGCAGTGAATAGGGTCAATTAAAACAAGATTTTGCCAAAGCAAAAGCAAAAACATACAACAGAAGGGATTTGCTGGTCGTCACCTATTCAACTACTAGCGGAGAGTCCTCGGGATAGTCCCTTAAATAGCCTATAATAGCCTATAGTACGAAAGTGCTGGATTTGCTTAGTAAGTTTGAGATAGGCGAAAGTAAAAAGAGAAAAAAATAGAAAAGAATTGACGATACCTCTGGAGGATGAAGATGGTGGTTGATTCCTCTACGTGAGGCTATCGGAGAACTAGCTAAGGCAGCCGGGTGGGCGGTGAGCTGGCGGCTCAGGCACCAAGGCCCCGGGCCGCCGTCAAGAATACATATTCGGATTAACAAGAAAACTGTGACTGCTAAAATCAGTTATATTGATTATAATCAGCGAGCCATCTAATGATTGAGCTGGTGATTGGGGGGGGGGG